GAGATATCCGTCTATCAATTAAGGGACGAGTATACTGCGCGGCAGTTCGTTCCGTCCTTCTATATGGCTGCGAAACATGGCCTTTAAGAGTGGAAGATATTCGTAAGTTACTAGTATTTGACCACAGGTGCCTTAGAAATATTGCGGGTATCTGCTGGGATCACCGGGTAAGTAATAGTGAGGTTAGACGCAGGGTATTAGGGAATGATGGTAAATCAGTTGATGAGGTTATGAATCTTCATCGACTGAGATGGTTGGGTCACGTGTTGCGTATGCCTGAACACCGATTACCACGACGCGCAATGCTGACTAGTGCAGGGAATAATTGGAAGAAAGTTAGGGGCGGCCAAACCAAAACGTGGCATCAGTGCCTGAAGTCACTAACTTCTGGTCTGAGCCATTTTGGGAGATTCAGACTGCCTGGTTCGGGTCCAAGTGACTATCGTAACCAATGGTTGGAGACTCTTGGTGACATGGCTCAGAATCGATCACAATGGCGTTGGTGTATACACTCTCTGTCTTCCTTAAATTAAGAGATTAAAATCGCTTCATATCTGTCTAGGAACTAATTCTTTCTTCCTTTACTATCTCCTTATACACAATATTTCTTCTATATATTACCACCACTGAATTAACTACTCCTATGAATCCGGTGTTCATCTTGTTGTGCTAATGCGGTATGGCAACTTGGACCGATGCATATACGTGCCTGGTATTACGTTGCAGCTGACTGACTGAGGCGGGACTATATTCCAACATAAACGCATACACAAAACCACATGGACTTCACCGGATCACAGCACACAGAACCAAATCGACCATATCTGCATCAACAAAAAGTTCAGGAGGACGATGGAGGACGTGAGAACAAAGAGAGGAGCTGATATAGCATCAGATCATCACTTGCTGGTCGCCAAGATGAAATTGAAACTCAAGAGGCACTGGACAACGGGGCGGACAATATCACAAAAATTTAATACGTCTCTACTTCGGGATAATGACAAACTCAATAAATTCAAGATAACACTCAGCAATAAGTTCCAAGCCTTTCATGATCTACTCAATGGAGAAGAAACTACTATGGAGAGCAACTGGAAAGAGATAAAAGAAGCAATCGCTTCAACATGTCATGAGGTTCTGGGCCAAAAGAAGCACCATCACAAGGATTGGATCACGGTCGATACACTGGATAAGATTCAAGAAATGAGGAACAAGAAAGCAGCGATCAATACCAGTCGAACAAGAGCAGAAAAAGTCAAGGCACAGGCTGAATACACAGAAGTAAACAAGCAAGTGAAAAGGGGCATCAGAACTGACAAACGTAAATATGTGGAAGATTTGGCATTGACGGCGGAAAAGGCTGCCAGAGAAGGAAACATGAGACAACTGTATGAAACAACAAAGAAACTCTCCGGAAATCACCGTAAACCAGAACGACCAGTGAAAAGCAAGGAAGGCAAGACAATCACCAACATTGAAGAACAACGAAACAGGTGGGTAGAACACTTCAAAGAACTCTTGAATCGACCAGCCCCAATGAACCCACCCAACATCGAAGCAGCACTCACGGACCTCCCAATTGATGTTGGCGCACCAAAAATTGAAGAAATCAGCATGGCTATCAGAAAAATCAAGAGTGGCAAAGCAGCAGGACTAGACAGCATTCCAGCAGAGGCACTGAAAGCAGACGTGGCGGCAACTGCAAGGATACCCCACATTCTCTTCAGAAAGATCTGGGATGAGGAACAGGTACCAAAAGACTGGAAAGAAGGACTTCTAGTCAAAATACCAAAGAAAGACGATCTCAGCAACTGTGACAACTACAGGGGAATCACTCTTCTTTCAATACCAGGAAAAGTCTTCAACAGGGTATTGTTAAACAGGATGAAGGACTCCGTAGACGCACAACTTTGCGACCAACAGGCAGGATTCCGTAAGGATCGATCGTGTGTAGACCAAATCGCAACTCTATGGATCATTGTGGAACAATCGATTGAATGGAATTCATCACTCTATATCAACTTCATCGACTACGAAAAAGCATTTGATAGCGTGGACAGAACAACCCTATGGAAGCTTCTTCGACACTACGGCGTGCCTCAGAAGATAGTCAATATCATACAGAATTCCTATGATGGATTAAACTGCAAAATCGTTCATGGAGGACAGTTGACAAACTCCTTCGAAGTGAAGACCGGTGTCAGGCAAGGTTGCTTACTCTCACACTTTCTCTTCCTCCTGTTGATCGAATGGATCATGAAGACATCAACATCTGAAGGGAAGCACGGAATACAGTGGACAGCTAGGATGCAATTGGATGATCTAGACTTCGCAGACGATCTGGCTCTTCTATCGCATACGCAACAACAAATGCAGGAGAAGACAACCAGTGTAGCTGCAGCCTCAGCAGTAATAGGTCTCAATATACACAAAGGGAAAAGCAAGATTCTCCAACACAACAAAGCATGCAACAATCGAATCACAATTGACGGAGAAGCTTTGGAAGATGTAAAAACCTTTACATATTTGGGCAGTATCATCGATGAACACGGTGGATCTGATGCAGATGTGAAGGCACGGATTGGCAAAGCAAGAGCAGCATATTTACAACTGAAGAACATGTGGGATTCAAAATAACTGTCTGTCAACCAACACCAAAGTCACAATTTTCAATACAAATGTCAAGACAGTTCTACTGTATGGCGCGGAAACCTGGAAAACTACGAAATCCATCATCCAGAAGATACAGGTGTTTATTAACAGTTGTCTACGCAAAATACTTCAGATCCGCTGGCCGGACACTATAAGCAACAACCGACTGTGGGAGAGAACAAATCAGATCCCAGTGGAGGAAGAAATGAGGAAGAAGCGCTGGAAGTGGATAGGACACACATTGAGGAAAGCACCGAACTTCGTCACAAGACAAGCCCTCACATGGAATCCTCAAGGTCGAAGGAGGAGAGGAAGACCAAAGAATACATTACGCCGGGAAATGGAGATAGACATGAGAAAAATGAACAAGAACTGGATGGAACTAGAAAAGAAGGCCCAGGACAGAGTGGGTTGGAGAATGCTGGTCGGCGGCCTATGCTCCATTGGGAGTAACAGGCGTAAGTAAGTAAGTAAATTTCTCTCTATACAGAATTGTGTCTACAGATTAGTTTGTGTCGACTGTGATGAGTTCTACATTGAAGAATCATTTCGTGAAATTTCGACTCACGTCAAGGAACACATAAGTTATATGAAAAGACTTTCTGATAATCCCGTAGAATAGGAAAATCTACAAGTCCAATAAGCAATACCAGTACATACTATTTTTAATAACCACTAAATCAATATTAAAAATATCAATTAATTGAGAAAGGTTTATCCAATTATAATGAAAGACCAATAGTTGAGGCGTCCTATAAAATCTTAAATCCCTTTGCTCTCGATGGAAAGGAAAGGTTTAATAGCCATCCAAATTGAACTATTTATATTTTTCACACCGACCAGCATACATACGGTGATGTCACATAAGAAAACACCCTAACCAAAAACGTTATGAATGACATGATCAAACTTATTATGATTTTCTTTGAGCTAGTTCCTCCTTATTAAATAAACCCGTCTCCATGTAATTCGGATATTATCAATAGCGGCCTGCTTGAATATCTGGGCTATCTGTTCCAGCCATCTCGACATCTAAAGAAGTTATTGCTTGAATACACCATTATGGCTATTAATCGCATAAACTATTCAAGTGCGTTTACGAAAATTGTACAAGTCACAAAAGGCTGCTGACAATATGCAGCGAAAAGAATGTACATTATTTAGATATCCACCGACTGGAATGCTAACTTCTAACTGGCGATCACCCAATTTTAATAGTCAGGATCGACCAAGAAGTAAGAAACGGAAACATGTTGAAACCTTTTGTGTTGAGAATTCTATACTGTACTAAAAATATATTATTGAAAAAAGCTAATAATAATAATAATTATTATTATTATTTATTTCCTCTCCTGAAGAGGAAATTTAAACTAAACTGGAAAACATAAGAAATTCTGATCTCTACTTACAAATATATCATTATTTTATTATTGATCTTCTTTAGGTGTAATAAGAAGGAGTTTAGAAAAACAAAACCAATTATTACACTTTAAGCTATTGAATATATAAACTTGAACATGCACTTACATACTTGTTCTTAATTCACATAAAGACACGCAATCGAATAATAAAAGATTTTATATTACAAACACAAGTGACATGCAATTCAACTATCCACTTATGTGTAGATGTACTTTTCAAGAGAACGAAAAAAAGAACATGTGAAATCTTGATAAACATTGAAGATTCAACAAGGATGATTTCTAAAATAATATCACACGATAAACCGATTTAAAAATACACATCTTTATTCCATCGTAGACTGAAAGGTGGAAGGCGACTTAGTGAAAGTCCACATTTAGGCAAGAAAAACAATTAGACAGAGAAATAAATTTTGCATCCATATATAATTATTCATGGTGATAATTAGTGTTGGTTTAAATAATGAATCAATAACAGATTAATCTGCTGATATCCTCGATACGTTATTGCTCTTAAAGTAAACACATCAACTTAATTATGATCCGATGTAAAATTATTCACTTGTTCAAACAAACTAGCATCTTACAAAACAGATACCAGTATATCGTCTAGTTTTCTATGCTTATAGGTAGTAATCGATGTCTATTCACCGATATGGCTACTAGGCAAAACTACTCAATAAAACAACTTACGGTAGTCAGCGCTTAATCGTCGGACTCCAGCGGTAGGGAATTTAGGACCACAATCTAGTGCAAATGTAAACTCATCAGTGACATATTCACAACACCAAGGGATTGTCAGAAGACATAAAATACTATCTGAACTATTTCATTTACATTCCACAGTAGACTATTAAGCCAATTGGAAAATCCATGTAACTGATATATAAGTCTTATCTACTGTGAGTTTTGTTGATTGCCATAGGTTAAAAAGGATATAGCAATGCAACAGGATTATTAATATTTGAGATTAGTACATTTGATGACAGTATCAATGAACTTTGTTAAAACATGGGAGCTCATTTGTTACCCATGAAAACATTGTCAAAAAATCACAAGACTCTTTTGTCTCGGGTTTCAATGCGAGTTATGTAAGCAAAAATTAGAATATTAAGATAAATCGAAACATTCGCTCTAAACAGAACAGGGTAACTACAATGCTGTAATCAATAAGCTGGTATGATTTTCACGCCGCACTCGAACTAAAATATATAAAACGGCAGCTTCGTTCATCAATGCATATTTGTCACACTTTATACGGTTAAACAGCCGTCATAAAATGCTGTTTCCACCAATGATACCTTGAAATCTTCAAAATTGTGCTATGATACTTGTTTATTACAAACTTACCATTTCAGCAAGAAAGTGAGTTACGAACATTGCGTAGGTTATGTTAGGCTGAAAGAGCAATCACTGAAGCTGTTTCGCATAAATATTCATTTACTTAAATGATATCTATTAATGAGTCTATAGACTTGTAAGTGAATTAATTAACGAAAAAATACCTCTCGACCTACAATAAATTTGTAAAAAACAAATACTTTTATTTTTTCAAGTTAAACTAACCTTAAAACAATGAAACGCTTCAAAAGCAATTTGCTTTTCTTTACTTTTCAACATATTCATAATGACTTTGAGGTTTTCCGGGTCTGCAATATATTTGGTCATTATTGAGATGTTATGCCGATCAAGTAAAAGCTCTCCTAACAACTGGGAATAAGATTATTAAAAAACGCAAATAGAGTTTCACAATTAAACATGGACATAAAATTTACAATAGAAAAGGAATCGTTATTTTTTGTGAGTTATGGCTTGTATATGAACTTTCAAAATAATTAGTTTCAGGAAATTGAAAGACGATATTATTGTTGTTAAGGGGGTATGAATCAAAAATGTAAGTGGGAGTATATTGTGAGGAAATATATTAAATCTTCTCATATCGTATTCTTTATCTGGTTTCGAAAACATTCTTAGTTTTTGATTGGACTTCTAAACAGGAATTCCATATTTTACACGTTGATTGATTTATTTTCATTGCTATTTACGACTAACAGTCGCTAGCATAGATGATCTTTGTAAATATATATCAGGATGAGAAAGAAAAGTTCTGTGAATGAAATAATCCAATTGAGATCTTTTCACTAAATTAAAATCATGATTTCATGACTTAACGAGTGTATTTGATTTAACCAAGCAATACACATTTACAGCTAAAAGTGACGAGAGGAGAAGCTACACATAAAATATGGCCAATATTTTGCACTAAAAATTAAGCTAAAATTGTAAAAGACAATGGGCAGAAGAAATCTATATTTATTGTGAGAAGTTAGTATTTACATAATAAATTTACACAGCCTTCAATCACCCATTTGCATCGTTCGGTGTAATTTGTATTCTAAACTGTCTCCTCGTCTGGTCTGCAAGTGCATTCGCTACACTGATCTCTTCGTCTGATGACTGTTGCAACTTTAACGTCACGTTCCGCTACATACCACTTGTGAGTAGCATCCACTATACAATTACTAAAATTACTTTAAATAAAACAAGTTGACAGAATAGTTTCGGCATGTCGATTTAAACTTTCAAGTTACACATCACTAATGTGAAAAAACACCTCAAGTCTTCTTTCAAACTTGTTGACTTTTCAGAAAATTTATTCACACTGAATCGAACCTCCGAGTGTCAAAGACAAAATTTAAAAAAAGTATACAGTAGAATGGAACTATTCTATACCAGTGACTTGGACAAACTGATAAAAAGGAATTATAAGGACTTAAATATAGAAAACAATTTTTAGAACAATTAATTATTGTCAGCAGGATAGAAATAGGATAATTGGTTGATTAAATTTAGGTGTGTTAATTCATTAGCTTATTTCCAACCAATCACTAATAAAGATCGGATTGAGAAGCTACCATAAGTTTATTATGAAGCTTTTATAGTTCCAGTATTTTTGAAATATATCATGTTTTTACACATTCTTTTTTCGATTCCGGTCAATTCTAATGAAGTGAAGTGATGAAAGAATAACTAGTTTTAATTTATAACCATATTTCATCTATTCTATATATCGCAAAAGTATTCTAAGGACATTAATTTTTCCTTTATATGATTAACTGAACAATACAGTGTTTAATTTGGCACAAAAGACTGCAGTCTCAAATGCTCACATTTATCAACAAAACGAAGGGGAAGATCAACAAAGCAAACAAGGAGGATAAAGGGAAAATACAGTAAGAATTTACACTGAATAGAGAGAACTAACCTTTAATGCTTGCCTTTTTGTGACGTAATTATCTGATAAAATCATATGCATATAATGGTCAAAAAATACATCATAATTAGCTGTTAGAAAATCTGCTACAAGAGCCTTATGACGAGTAAGCAAATCTTTCAATGTAGCGAAAGCATCTGAGCTCACATCAAATGCTGTGCCTTGTACATGTTCAAATAACTGATAAAATTCTGGTGAACGAAGAACAACTTTAGCTAAAGATTCATGTCGACATGCATCCCGAAGCATCTAGTTACAAAGCAAGAAAATAGAGGAATTATACATGAAGTATAAGCACATAACTTATCATGAAAAGGATACTAAATATTTTTAAAAATCTATTTTGTATATACATGAGTATTTTCAATAGTCTATTAATTAAAATCAAAAACTACCAAAGAATAAACAGTCGTTGATTGCAAAAGGATTAAAGAGACAAATGGAATATATTGCATTAATGGATCCAGAATATGTATATTTATCGATGTAGAGATAAAATTAAGAAAAACAAAGAATATTTCATTTAATCGCCTTCAACTTCTCTGTCGTAGGCTCTAGCCAGCATCACCTACCTAATTATGAGCGACTTATAAGTATCATAAGCCTACAGACATTGTGTTTTAACCTCAAGTACACTAACTCGTACTTAATAAATCAGCTAAACGTCAACACTAATGTAATGCCTCACTAATTTTTCAGATTTTATCACGACACAACACTGATGCGCATGGCTAACCTGTGTCCAAGGCTTATTAGCGTTTCAAACACGTCTTCCCAGAGGATTCTATCACATTTTTCAGACGCAGGAGCTGCGTGGAAAAAAGAGAGGCTTCTTTATTACGTAATGTTGCAGGAATCTACCACGCCTCTATTCCTAGCATAGCTAAAAATGTTGAATACATACTATTCTTGTTTCTGCTCATTCTTAACATACTCACTACAACAAAGGTGCACATGATAGACTACTGTCAACAACAAATTTCGCAATTCTCCCAAGAATTCCATATTATCTGTTTCCTAGGTACACCTGAGAAAAAATAAATTTTACTAAAGTGAACAATCTACGATTTTCAGAAAAGTGAATTCACTTCGTCTTCAGGAGTCTATTTAGCTACAGAAATCCACAAATACACAGAAAAATGTTGTTTTTTAGGGGGACAAACATAGCCAAGTATTATGAATGAAAAGAAATAGACAATATATTTGGTATTTCAGAAAAAGGTATCTGTTTATTAGTAGTTGGATAGAAGAGTATTTTGGTTTTCTTATTATTAAAATTTATTCAGCATTTTATGACATAATACAGGGGCCTTCGGACAGTTTACGGAAAATGAACAGATATACTTATTTTTAGAGTATACAGTAAAAGACCAACCAAGAATAGCATAAAAGGAGTTAAAAACGAAATAACAATGAGAAATAAAATCATGCTCAGAATACAAAAGGGACGATGATATTGGTGGGCTGTAAAATATGGGGTCTGATTAAGGCAGGTGCATTCGTTTTTTATCTTTACTTGGTATTAATTTGAGTAACACGCCAATTTTTCTCCATTTGATGATACTAATTCCCTCAGAATTACATTTCTCGTGTTTAGAACTCCACCGAAATCGGGATTGTTTCTCTCCCCTTGCTTCTCATTTTGTTAATTACCTCTACCTGTGTCATAAGGTGTAGCAACTTGGACCAACATGTATTTATCACAAGTCCTACCTCGAATTTCATAAATTAAAAATCTGTTGTCAGACATCATCTGATTACTACGATAGCCTCAATATATATGGCAGTTAGCCTGTTTTGTGGTATAAATTGTCGATTTAGGTAACATAGCTCCAAATCGACTACCATTGGACTGGAGTATACATTCGGTATCTTGCACTAAATTCTAAGGATTTTAAATATTTACGTCCCATCGCTCAACTCCACTTGTTTTTGGACATTATTTTCGAACTTCTAACTCTCCGATGTTGTTATTATCATCAACTTTATTTCTTCCTTTCATGTGGTGATTTTCGATCGTGTTTCGATATAAACTTAAACCAATATATATTTTTGTTTGCTACAGTGAATCAGCAGTTAACGTTTTTCCGTCTGCTGGATGGCAATGTTTACATTTTGCGTGACAGAACCGTTACCTGCTAATGCAAATCAATGAGGTAGTTAGATGCATGTACCAAGATATGTAGCTCCGTGAACATATGCAGATCTGTGTATTGAGTTGAGTACCATTTAATATACGAATTCGTACTTTTGATAGTACCTGTCAGTCTTAGTAGATGCGTCCGAGTATGGACTTGTGACAAGTTGAAAGCGGAGTTTATAAATTAATCCAGTCTTATTTTTTGTTTGTAAGTGTTAATAATATCAATCCACATTATGATTTCTAATAAATTCCCAAAACTCTTAAACTGTAGATACCTTCCTTGAACCATTACGTGATAGGAAATCAACAATCATTGAATAATGAAGAACTGATATTTCTCAAATTTTTTTCTACATCTGTAGTACTGTGCAAATCGTCCTAACAAGAGTATTGATACCAATACAACATTACAATATCTAAATTATACCTGAAAGCTTCAGAATTGAAATATGAGTTCATAAAAACTTTGTTGGGAATAGATATTATTTGTAAATCAACATTTTAAGAACCTAGTTATGAGACTTACTGCACCATAGTGTATAGCAGTGTCAGGTTTGGAGTATCCTTGAAGAATAGATATTAAAATTTGAGAGTTAGCCAAAAGATATTGAGCTGCAGGATTATAAGATCCGACCTGTCGCCTCATAATATGGCCGAAAAGATCAACGATATGTTTAGAACTCTAAATAAATGAAACATGCCTAACAAAAGAGCATATACCTCAAACTCGATGACATCCAAATTGTTTACAAGAAGCGGCAAAAGATTGAGGTTGATGATTTCATGAGTTACATCTGTTATGATTTCATTAATTCGTGCTCGTTCAGAGTTCGATAATTCTGAATCTCGTTCTTTGCCAGTCAATCGAGTATCTGACTTATCCGTTAGCAGCTCCCGAAGAGCAGTCAAAGCTCTTGCTATATCTTCAACAGCTTTTTTCCGCTCTTTGTCAGTTTTGGTACAGTTACTTAAAATCTTAAAAATTTAGTAAACAGTACGCTTAGACTTACGATTATGTTCTCATTAACAGTTTGGATTAATTCACGAGGGCTTTTTGGCTTACCAAATAGAGGCATACTTTGAAATGTTGGTGACTAAAAATCAAACACGGATAACAAGTAATCATTAATTTTATTCCGAATTCCAACTGATAATATTGAAACCACGATGATGTGTTGAGGTACATATATGAGGATAAATATATCAAAATTCTCAAACAATATCCGAAACGATGTTAATAAACTTCTCAATAACACCGTTCTTCAACAGAAAATTTCATAGAAGTCCTGTCCCAAAACTTGAAGAAACGCAACGCTCGTAGATCTGCGATGAGTAATGCATTTTAACATTATGCTGGAGGTGAATATATGACCAATACATCTTCAACCAGAACAAAAACCAGCCTTCTCGCAAGTCAGTTTTCTTCGGGTTTGAATAATCCAAAAAGTATGACGGAAGCCAATATTTTAGACGAAATCGGGAGCAGACATATTCTCGCGATAGTCGTTGCATAGGTGACATAAAGCTTTTTGAAATATAGGGACGACTATCACTTCATTCAGGATGTTAGAAGGGCAACATACCAGATGGAAATCTCTGCCTATAGATTTCACTAAATAGTGACCCATCAACTTGGCAGGTTCTTTCACTTACACCCGCCCTCCTGTGTGCCAGTGGCTTGGATGAGCCAAAATAACTTTTAGCAATCACCATGTGTAAATGCCGTTTTCAACCCGCTAGCACGTTTTGAGCACTAAGTTCCTTGTTTTTTACTCAAAATTTGCAAAATCTGTTTACATAAGTATCAAAGTTTACCATAAAACTTGATTCTCTTAAACCGATGTGTTTAAAGCAGTAGTGAAGACACTGAAAAAACCGTGTGTTAAAACGGGATGATTCGCAAAGACGCAACCCGCTATTTCAATAACGTCAAACAAAGGCATTCGACGCTCATTCATACTTCCTAGCAAGTTGGCTACTAGCTTTGAGCTTAGCTCCATTTTATGTTTGTTTACAATAGAAGCTGCATCCAATTCGCCTACATCAATTTGTTTAGAACAAAACGTTTGGTGACCACTGAAACACAAGACAAACTTGGTGGAAACCTAAACATGATCAGAGTAGCAGTTTTGCGTACAACCATGCCAGAGGTAGTCGGTTACGATGTGATCAATCCAAGTCCAAACTTCAATTCAAAAGGGAAGATGCCAGACAGTACGTCGATGACGATTACGCCGAAAATTGGTCTGGCCAGAAACATATTGTTGCCTGCATAAAGTTGTAGAAGGTAATCACAATTATCTGACCTCTAATCAACGAGCCCCGATTGGCCACCCAAGTGAATGTTTCAAGAAGTTTGATTTGCGCATTAAAATATTTGGCTAATACTAAACAGTCAGTCAGCTACAATGTAGGACCAGGAACATATATGCATCGGTCCAAGTTGCCATACCTCATTAGCACAGCAAGATGAACATCGGATTCAAAGTTATTATTTCAATGGTGATAATATATAAAAGAAAGATTGTGTATAAGGAAATAGTACAAAAAGAAAGAATTAGAAGGGAAGGTATAAAGTAATTTTAATCTCTTAGTTTAAAGGAAGACAGAGAGTGTATACACCTGCGCCATTGTGATCGATTCTGAGCCATATCACACAGTCTCCAACCATTGGTTAGGATAGTCACGTGGACCCCAACCAAGATAATGTAAAATAAATTCGTATGTAATTAAGAAATTGTAAATGTCATTAACATAGATAACGTGTTTTGCTTACTAATTATTTTCTCCATGTTTGTGTGTGCTAGGATACCCTCCGCATCCGCAGACCGAAGTGGGTGGTTTTTTTACAGAGCCACTAGCCAAGATGTTGGTCTACAGATCTAATTCACAAACCAGTGGATCAGTGCCAGGAGATGCAACCTTACGGCTGCTGGTGACAAAGATAAGTTAAAAGGCATTTGATCCCATAGGATCAGGGAACCGATTTGCATTACTGTTTTGGTATCAGGGTTTTCTGAATTTCCCACGTGGGACCTCCGTGTCCACTGACCGGATTTAGGCGCCAGATACTTGTTTCTTGTTCTCACACTTTCGTAAACAACAATTCGTCCATGAGAAGAGTAGAACTTACCTGGCAGTGGCTACAAACCCGCTGCCAAACGAGTGCATTACAAGAGGAAGAGTAGAAATTCCCTAACCCTAATTCTACAATGATATTTGATGGTCCTTTTAAACTGGCAAGACTAGTGGCACATTCGACACAACTTCCCAATCACTAACAAGTTCGTTTTTGCTTTCGACGTGGCTTTTCTCTAGGTTAGTGAAACTACAGTTATCCAAACAAAAGTGGACAAGTTCCAACTTGAAGCCCAATGACAGTAAACCAGACTTTAATTATTAAGTTACCATTATGGAATGGTCAGTGACTGAAACCTAATTACTTACTTACGCCGGTTACCCCTTGTAGAGCATAGGCCGCCAACCAGGATTTTTTTTACCAGCTCTGTCCTGGACAATCCTTTCCAGTTGCTTTTAAGTGCAGCTCGTTTTTCTGATGTCTGCCTCACTTTCCCAGAGCAGTGTTCTTTGATCTGCTTGTTTTTTTCGCCTTGAAGAATTTAAGTTAGGGCTTGTCTCGTCATGCAGTTTGATGATTTCCACAATGTATTACCCACTTCAAGTGTATTTCCCTAATTTCTTTCTCAGATGGCAACTAATTAATTTTCTGCCACAGTAGGTTATTACGGATAGTTTCTAAACGAGTTTCTAGTTGCAGTAGATAACTGTTTATAAATACCTGTACCTTCTTGGAGTTGTAGTTCCTCACTTTTAAGCCCTGTACAACAGAACTATCTTGACCTTCCCACTAAAAATTCTGATATCGGCTTGTAGACAGTTGTTTCAAGTTTCAGATGTTCTTCAGTAGTAGGAATGATAACCTTACTTTACCAATCCATGCCTTCATATTTGCATCAGATCCTATCTGCTTATCTACAATGCTGTCTAAGTACGTGAGCTGTCCTTCATGAACGACTTCGTAGTGTATTCCGTCATAAGAATTCTGTGTGATGTTGACGATCTCACATACACTGTAGTGTAACACTGGTTGAAATTAGTCAGGTAAAATTACAATAGCTGATAAACCCGAACCAATATCTCAGTCGAAATAATCAATAATTTTGGATTTTTAGTGCTTGAATTCATATGAGTTCGGTTGCAAAGCGCTCCACTTCTCTTATTACTATCCTAGTTCGAGAACGGACAAATGAGTCATCCTTAAATCAGACAGTCGAACAAACTATTGAACTTTAACTCCTACTATCCTTAATAACACCACAAGCACACTTTTGTCCACTGTCGCTGCTTTATTAGAGTATTTCGCTTCCGTCCCTAAGCTACTCACAATTAGTATGTATACATGTCTATTTAAAATAAGCTTTCGCTTATCGCCATGCTTCTAAAACACTGGTGGTGAGTTTGAGCATTTATAGTCAAAACCCATATACCTATTGAACTCTAGATGAGTGCTTATAACTACTATGTTGTGATGGTGAGTAGATTATAACGTGTGTGTTTGACCGACAAAGGTTGTTTTGAATTTGATCTACCTATTTTGGTATGAGAAGCATAGTAAATAAACACCCCCGATAAAGAGAACACGACTTGGGACCGAGCACATCAACCTGCACATTTAGTCACTACTGCCAAGGGAGTGGTAAAATTTATTATGTATGCGTCATTAGTTGTGACCAGTACTTCAGGCAAAACTTTGATTAGATAAGAGGACGTACAGAAATTTTAAGGAACTAACCCTCAACACTTAAAACATAAGTTCTAATTTAACAGAAAATCTATTTATTTAAGCACATAAACATTGGTACAAGAAGGCACCAAATACATATGCGCCACACAAATCAAGCGACTTGTGTGAGGACTGGAATACTGCTCGGGCGCTCAAACCGGAGCATGTTCTAACGTTGCTCCACTGCCTTGCGGATTAGACTTCTAGGTCAAATACTCAGAGAGTGGTTCTCTAAGAAAGCCACCTGCTCCGGTTTGGGCGCCCGGGCAGTATTCCAGTCTCACACAAGTCGCTTGATTTGTGTGGCGCATATGTATTTGGTGCCTTCTTGTACCAATGTTTGTGTTTAAATAAATAATAAACGTTTGGAGATACAGTCTCATGGTAGCAGGTGACCAACAATAGGTTCATACACTATTTGTCCCCTTAGGATCCTGGACTTTATATGCACCACTGGTTTGGAATCAGGGTTTTCCAACCCCCCCCCAGGGCGGATCCTCTATGTTTATCAACCCGACTAACAGCCGGACATCCACTTTTCGCCCCCCCTCAATTTCCTAAACAACATCCCGGTGATAGAAGGCAATGGGTACGGCTTCCGTGGGAGTGAATGTGTACACGTGGTCATGTGAATGCATTTTGAGAGGAGCTGAATCGCCTCTCCCTTGGCCGTACCAGGATATTTGGGGGTAATTCAACAAAAAAACAAGATCTGATTTTAAAGAAGTATTTCATCGTTGCGTTTTACACTAAAGTGGTGTGAAAATTCCGTGGAAAAAAAACAATAAGGATGGACAGTCTTAGCAGAAGACTAAAAAATAGAGAACCATAAAAAAAATTGTACAAAATGCGTTATTTGAAATGGAGTATGGAATAAATTAACTCATTCATTAAGTATCTAAGTATGAACCATAGTTAGTGCTAAAGATACTACTCAGTCACTTCAATCGAAGCACGCGGAGTAGGGTTTGAACCTGAGGCGTAACAGCCAAACGCCTTAGTCACTAAGCCACCTCTGCATGATAAATGAAAAGTAGTAAAACACAGCAATATTTGGAAGTGGTTAGTCCGTTTCCATAACTTCATTCTGTAAACACCACGAGATCGAGTGTAGTTAAAAAAAACATTGCAGACTGAACACATGACATGAAAACAGGCTGGTCGACACCAAAATCGTGTAGAAGGACAGCAATAAGTGTCATTATTACTTATGAAAAAGGGATAAGAGGGAACGTGGAATTTACGTTATGAAAACAAAGACGGGGCTGAGCGAAATATAAACAAAGAACATGCAGAGTTGATTGCAGGCTAAATAACTTGGTTAACACCGATGATTCTTAACGGATTTTAAGTCCGTAACAGATTGATGCACAGATTAATCGACTAGCTGAGCAACCCAGAAAATCCAAAGCAACTAAGTACGTGGAGCAAAGCGTTAAGTTCAGTGTACCCAGAAACGAATAATTCATTTAACAGGGACTGAGTTATTTGCACGACTAGAGGAACATTCTAAGACATATATGAAGCACATATGCAAAGACAACTTCGCCAGATCACCGTAACATTACTAGCTACGGGACGTGCATTTATATAAATGAACTAAGTGAACTAACCTCTGAAACACTACAAAATAATCCGTGGATACTTTTAAATATCAGTAACACTAGCAAACTAGAAAATAAGTGGTCGGGATAATTCCTAGACTCGTTAACCGAGTACACGTCAAGTACTCATCATGTCCAGATAACACAGTGGGGGGAAATACGAGTTGTTGAATCCATCATTACTCAAATAGCGGGGGGGATTGAATTCCTTTTGGTACGTGGGATTACATAGTGGATGCTTTTAAGCGCTATAACAGGCAAATTTAATCCGAAAATACATGTCCACGATTCGAATGTTGTAATATGTTACAGACTAGAGATTTTAGTCAGGAATAGTTAGCAAACGAAAAACATGAGTCCGTTTCAGGGTTCTTATTTTTCTGTAGTAGATTAGTACCTCAGAATTTTTAACAAAAGCTTTAGACGTTAAACTTTTGAGATAATGCAGAACGAAATATTACCGTTATTATATTTCAAAACCAAGTATAACTGAAGCATGAGTCAACTTCCCGTGCCTAATTTATAAAGTTATTTAAAGGTGAGTCTTACTTGCTAAGAAACTCAAGACTCTGGAAGATGGAGATAGGAAACACGAAAATGTGCCCAGCCTCCCTCAGCCAGATAATCCCGCCCTTATGACCTGCTCATTATAAGCTCACATGTTGAACGTTCTAAACAAAATGTTTGATAAGGTATGAAGGTGATGTCTGTGTGAGATATTCTAAGAACCCTTATACTCTCCTAACAATTGAAATTTACTACGTACTCTGTATTCTTCTATCATCTTAGGCTAGTCTGTCTTATTTTAAGACTTCAGTGATAAGGCTAGTGTAGCAGTAAATAAATCCAATCTTCAGTCAGTCTTCAGTAATAAGGATAGTAGGTTAGTGGACCTTTTTTAATCCTAACAGGTCGCCTTCCAGTGAAGGTCCAGTTTCTCCTTGAAAATATTCACTGATGGGGCTGATACCACTTGTTCGGGCAAAGCGTTCCAATCATTGACTACTCGATGAGAAAAACGAAACCCCACCTTGAGTTTATTAGATCGTGGTTTATGAACCTTCTTGATATGACCTCGGAGATTATTAGTGCTGGAGGGAGCAAAAAGATAAGACATATTAACACCCAAATCATAATTAAATATACGAAATGCCAGTGTAAGGTCACCTCGAGTCCTATGATACGACAAGGGGAAAAGGTTTAGGCGTTTTAAACGCTTCTCGTAAGGGAGTTTAGAAAGACCCTTCACGAATTTCGTTCCCACACGCTGGACACGCTCAAGTGAGGTAGTATCCTTTATCAGACATGGGCTAGATGCTTGGATACAGTACTCTAAATATGGTCTTACATAGGTGGGATATAAAATTCGAAACATTTCCTCGTCAAAAGATTTGAACGCTCGGCGAAGTGACCACAACGCACGAAAACCTTTGACAGCGGCTGCGTTGCAGTGCGTAGTTGTTTTTAGGCCATGACTTATCATTACTCCTAAATCTTTATGTTCTTGAACGCATGGAAGATGTTTGCCATCAATAGTATAATGCTAATTATTGCCGTGACCGATGTGCATTAGCACACTCTTTCTAGAATTGATTTCTAAACCCCAATCTCGAGCCCATCTAACTAAATCGTCTAAGCCAGCTTGGAGATCCAGATGATCAGCCTCACTTCTTATTGTTCTTCAGATTTTGACATCATCCGCAAATTTTAATGTCGACGACCTAAGCAACAGCGGTAACTCATTTACGTAGAGAAGGAAGAGCAGAGGGCCTAATATGGTGCCTCGGGGTACACCACTTTTGACCGGCTTCCAATCGGATAGCGTCCCATTGACTCTCACTCTCTGTCTGCGGTCACACAAGAAGTTTCCTATCCACTCTTGTACAGTGCCTATTATTCCGAAGCTTGTGAGCTTCTGCATAAGACCTGAGTGTGAAACCTTGTCAAATGCTTTGCTAAAATCTATGAATATAACATCGACAGACAGACCTTTATCTAAGGCTGCTGTCCAATCCTCTCTCGCAATAAGTAAGTTAGTCAAGCATGAACGCTTATCACGAAATCCATGTTGCTCAGGAGCTAACAGATTGTATGAATCTATGTGGCTTAGCAACCTAACCCGAATTATCTTTTCAAGTAACTTAACGACAATGCTAGTCAGACTGACAGGCCGATAGTTAGATACGATCTGTCTCTGATCATCCCTCAATATAGGACTGACAATAGCATCTTTCCAATCCCTAGGTAGTTGAGCGAGTGAAAGTGACATGTTGAAGAGTGTCACGAGCGGTTTTGAAATAATGTCCGCAAGAGATGACAGCAGCCGTGGATGTAACCCGTCAGAACCCGGTATATTACCAGGTTTGAGGTTAATTATCAACGAAAGGACAGTTTCTTCAGTCACCTGTACAAATTCAATAGCTGGTATCCCGGTGTGATTGGGACAAGTATTTGTTACAATAAACGTAGAGTACACTTCGCTAAAGTAGTTTGAAAATGTCTCAGCTTTGGCTCGATCTGATTCAGCTAGTAAACCTGAATTATCGTGTAACAATAATGGGGGAATACTATCACTACGTTTTATTCGCCGTTTAACATACGAAAACAATCGTTTTGGATAAGTACGGCTATCATATACCAACTGTCGTTCGTAAGTAGTACGAGATTTAGCTATTGTTTTCTTACAAATATTCCGGAGTTTTTGGTACTCACGCTTAAAGGATGCATGACCTGTCAACAAGAATAAGTCCCAGAAGCGTTTCCTACGTTTTAACAGCTTCCAGGTTTCCTTATTAATCCATGGAGCATGTGTCCTAAACTTAAAGTGAAGTACAACGTGATCACTGTTCACTAGTGGAGGAAGGTGCTGAATATCAAAGACATCCTCACAGTGGTGGGTGAGGGCGAGGTCCAGCAGAGACGGATAATGTTTCAAAAAAATATGTGTCGGTTTAGTGGTACATTGGACAAGTGCACACTGAATAACGGTTGATAAAAGTTCACTATCGAAACCTCCACCTGAAGCTGTAAGTTCTATCCAGTTTATGTGCGGTGCGTTGAAGTCCCCAACGATGAGACAACATTCTGCCATACTCCAAGAACAGATGTGTCTTAGGATAAAGTCATCGGCAAGACAACACCTACATACTTACTTACGCCTGTTACTCCTTGTGAAGGAGCATAGGCCGCTCACCAGCATTCTCCATCCAACCCTGTTCTGGGCAATCCTTTCAAGCTCTTTCCAGTTCTTATTCATCTTTTTCATATCTGCTTCTATTTCCCGATGTAATGTGTTCTTTGGCCTTCCTCTTTTCCGCTTCCCTTCAGGATTCCAAGTTAGCGCTTGTCTCGTAATGCAGTTCGATGATTTCCTCAATGTATGTCCTATCCATTTCCATCGTCTTTTGCTAATTTCCTCTTCGGCTGGAAGCTGGTTGGTTCTCTCCCACAAAAGGCTGTTGCTGATGGTATCCGGCCAATAGATGTTGAGTATCTTGCGTAGACAGCTATTGATAAATACCTGTACCTTCTTGATGGTTGTTGTTGTAGTTCTCCAAGTTTCAGCTCCGTACAGTAGAACTGCCTTGACGTTCGTATTGAAGATTCTGACTTTGATATTGGTTGAAAGTTGTTTTGAGTTCCATATGTTCTTCAGTTGAAGGAATGCCGCTCTAGCTTTGCCAATCCTCGCCTTGACGTCTGCATCTGAACCTCCTTGTTTATCGACGATGCTTCCCAGGTATGTGAAGGATTCTACATCTTCCAGAGTTTCGCCATCAAGAGTGATTGGATTGCTGTTCTCCGTGTTGTGTTTGAGGACCTTGGTTTTCCATTTGTGTATGTTGAGGCCTACTGATGCAGAGACTGCTGCTATGCTGGCTGTCTTTACCTGCGTTTGTTCGCGTGTATGTGATAGGAGGGCTAGGTCATCTGCGAAGTCCAAATCGTCTAATTGGTTCTGAGCTGTCCATCGTATGCCGTGTTTTCCCTCAGAGGTAGAGGTCTTCATAATCCAGTCGACCACCAGAAGAAAGAGGAAGGAAGAGAGTAGACAGTCTTGTCTGACTCCGGTCCTTACTTGGAATGCATCTGTCATCTATCCTCCATGCACTATTTTGCACTGTAGTCCATCGTATGAGTTCCGGATAATGTTGACAATCTTCTCAGAAACCCCGTAGTGTCGAAGAGGTTTCCATAACCTTCTCCTATCTACACTGTCAAATGCCTTCTCATAATCAATGAAGTTGATGTAGAGTGACGAGTCCCACTCAATTGATTGTTCGACGATGATCCGTAGTGTCGCAATTTGGTCTGTGCACGACCGGCCTTTACGGAATCCAGCTTGTTGATCTCGAAGTTGAGTGTCTACTGCGTCTTTCATCCTGTTCAGTAACACTCTGTTGAAGACTTTACCTGGTATTGACAGTAGTGTAATGCCTCTGTAGTTTTCACACTTGCTCAGATCTCCTTTCTTTGGAATCTTGATGAGGTGTCCTTCTTTCCAATCCATCGGCACTTGTTCCTCCTCCCAAATCTTCTTGAATAGAAGATGAAGCATGTTTGTCGTTACTTCGATGTCTTACTTCAACGCTTCAGCTGGTATATTGTCAGGTCCTGCTGCTTTCCCGCTCTTGATTTGTCTGATGGCCATTCTGGTTTCTTCTGTCGTTGATGGATTGACATCTATAGGAAGGTCTGTGTGTGTTGCTTCAATGTCCGGTAGATTCATTGGAGCCGGACTGTTCAGGAGTTCCTCGAAATACTCTGCCCATCTGTTCCGCTGTGGTTGAATCTCAGTGATTGGTCTTCCTTCTTTGTCTTTGACTGGTCTCTCTGGTTTACTGTATTTCCCTGTGTTTCTATAGAGATCCATTCCTTGTGATGATGCTTCTTGAGGCCCAGAACCTCTTGACACGTTGAAGTTAATGTTTCTTTGATGCCTTTCCAGCTATCCTCCATAGTAGTTTCTTGTTCCTTCAGTAGGTCCTGTAGGAATTGAAACCTGTTGTTGAGAGCTTCCTTGAATTCATTGAGTTTGTCAGTATCTCGAAGGAAGGCTGTATTGAACTTTTGTGGTGCTGTTTGTCCAGTTGTCCAGTTCATCTTTAGCTTCAGTTTCAATTTGGCTACAACCAGGTGGTGATCTCAAGCTATATCCGCTCCTCTCCTGGTTTTCACTTCTTCCATTGTCCTTCGGAACTTTTTATTGATGCAAATGTGATCTATCTGGTTCTTTGTGGCGTGGTCCGGTGAGATTCATTTAGTTTTGTGTATACGTTTGTGTGGAAATGTTGTACCGCCTATGACCAATTTATTGAATGCACACAGATTTGCAAATCTTTCCCCGTTTTCGTTTCTCTCTCCCAGTCCATGTAGTCCCATGATGTCTTCATATCCGGTGTTGTCCATTCCGACTTTGGCGTTTAGATCTTCCATCAGAATGGTGAGGTCCTTTCTTGGGCACTTCTCTATGATCAATTGCAGCCTCTCATAGAATTGATCTTTAACGTCGTCGTTGCTATCATTTGTGGGTGCATAACATTGGATAATGTTCATTGTGATCCCCTTCTTCTTTGTTTTGAATGATGCTTTGATGATTCTGGATCCGTGAGATTCCCATCCTGCAAGTGCATTTCGTGCTACTTTGGACAGCATTAGGACAACTCCCTGAGTGTGTGGAGCATTTTCCTCTTTGTGACCGGAGCATAGCAGCATCTCTCCCGTATTTAGCCTTTGTTGTCCAGCTTGGGTCCAATGGGTTTCACTGATTCCCAGTACTACCAA